CGCCCTCCTCTTCCGTCTCCTTCTTCTCCCCCTCCTTCTACTCCTCCTACTCCTCACCCTACTCCACATTCTCTTCTGCCTCATCACCCTAATTCTTCTTATCCTCCTCCTCTTCTTCCTCCTTCCCTTCGTCTTCTTCCTCCTCCTTACCCTCCTCCTTCTTGTCCTCTTTCTCCTCACAGGCCCTGATGAGTCATAGTCTCTTCTGCGAATTGCTCATCCAACTGCTCAGCCTCTCGCAGAACTGGCCGCTCGCCGAACCCGCCGACTTGGAGGGAGAGAGCCACGACGAGCTGGCCACTTTCGCGCCGGTCAGGAGGGACTTGCCGGTCGAGGAGGCATCGAGGCCGGTGCCCCTCGGACGCGGCCTCCGCGAGAACCTCGAATCGGACGAGGCGCTCGAACCGGCTCGAGGCGGACTCGAGTCCCGCGGCCGGGCACCGGCTCGCTCGAGACCCGACAGGTCGATGCAGTCCCCCACGAGGTGGAACCGAGAGAAACCGAGCCTCCTGGACACGCGGCATCACCGCATCGGCAAGCCAGCGACGACGGACGAGGCGCCCTCTCTCGGCACCCTCGGCTCAACCGAGGCCGCCACGAGGCGACGCGAGCTCGAGTCCCCCGCCGAGTCGAGACGCAGGCTTCGTCTACTCTGGATGCACATCGCAGGCATCCTGACCTGTGGACAAGTGCCACACACACTCAGGCCGGTGGTCATCAAGTGAGTCGTGCCCCCCTCCCTCGACTGGCATAACTACCATCATCACGTTGCTCCATCTAAACTGATCAGACTACTCACTACCATTCATAGTAGGGAAATGATACATGAGCAATTCACCCAATCACAGCCCGACTCGGGCTAGCCCGAGACCTCGGGGAAGGATAGGATTGTGTGGATTACTTCCATTTCGAGTAGAAGTGTTGGGTGAAGAGCCATAACTTCGGGTTTTCTGAATAAGCGAACACTAACATGCACATACAAATACAGAGACAGACACACTCACATGCATAGAAGTTGACATATGACCGTAACTAT